AAAGTGAGAGCCTTGTATACACTTCAATACTTTAAAAAAGTACCCGTACTCAGTACTCAGCCGGCAGCATATGAAAAGTGGGACTAGACACGGTGTCCATATGGAGAGGAAAAATATACATAGAATATTTTTAACAAAATGTATTCATTGTATAAATGGAATCCTTCTGTAACTTTGGTAACTGCATACTTGTTGTTTTTGGTAATGAACCAGAGGAGGTATAATACTCTAGAATTGTGTAACATTAAAGTTGTAAACTTTTGTGTTTAAAGAGAGACAACATTTTTATGTTGTAATTTTTAAAAAGGAAACAAGCTGCATGCAACAGCTTGAAATTGTATTAGTATTAAAGTGCAATACTGGTTGAAAAACACTTGCCCCCCCTTCCCATGGGGAGCTGCCTTTAGTTACTCCTAAAAAACCAAACTTAACAAAAAGTCAGTTCATGTCCCCTCCCCTGCAAGATGTGACTCTGTACTTCCCGTAGTTGTTTCCTAACTGCATGTCTATAAAGTTGCACCCCCAGTCCGTCGAGCCTCGGTGTTGTTGTAAATCTCCTTTCACAGCGACTGTCAAATCCAGAGGGCCTCAACTGCGCTTTATGCTGAAGATTGGCTGGACGTTCCTCCGATGTGTGTTGTTCGCCATTTAATGTGGTTGTCCCTGCTTTATTCTCTGTGACTTGTTAGGAAGGCCAGCTCATGTGGCTCTCCCCTGGAGAGGTTGAGGGTGCACCTTTATGAGCCGGGAAGATTCATCGCAGCAGTTGCCTCCACTTCTTCCTCCAGGCCCACTCTTTCAGCTAATGGGGTTGGTGTTTGAGATCCAGTTGTTTTTTTTCTCCCTAATTTGCCAAGTATTGCACTGTTAATACCAGCCCCGAAATGAAAGGACCCACCACACTGGTGTGTACAGTCAGACAAGCAAGTTGTATATTAAAGAAATTTGAGGCAAGCTGCCCTGAAGAAAGGCATATGTGACAAGATGAGAGAGATGCATTGTTTGGAGATGTGTTTAGCCAGTGCCCTTCTTCCCCACGAGCCCCCCAGGCTCAGAGCGGTACTGGCTTTTAAAGGAAAGGCCTTCATTTCTTCGTTTTCCCCCAGCAGCGCTGGAGAGCGAGGTGGCTTCAATAAGCCTGGTGGTAAGTTTTTGAGTATGTACCATGGATAGGGTTTAAAAAAAAAATACAGTCAGTTTTAGAAAAAACTATAATTTTTATTAGTTTCCTAAGTGTTTAAAAATGATCTATCCAAAAGAGACTAATGGGTATGCCGGCATTGTCTTAGGGGTAATGAGGTTAACCTATGGTTACAAAACAAAGGGTAACTTGAAGTATTGAGCACCTGCTTCTGTAATATGGGGGAGATTACAGTTTTTTAAATTTGGTTATTTGGAGGACAAAATTTTAACTTAAATTTAACACTTAATTTGGCACATAAGCATTGAAAGTGTATTTGGTTAATGGTTTAGAAGCAAACCAGCAAAGAAAAAAGCAAACCCTAGCAAAACTTTTCACAAATGTTATTAAAGAGACACTGCTCCACTTAGCAGTGTGGGTCATTTTGAATTTAATAGTCCCTATCAAATGGTGGTATAGTAGATAGCTATGTGTGTTTGTAAGGTTTGTAGCTTGCAAGACGTGCACTAACAGTATTTTATATGATCTTTCCTGGTTGGCAGGACCCATGGATGAAGGACCAGATCTTATCTAGGTAATTGTGAATTCTTCACGTCCAGTGTATATATAAGTGAATGGCAGAAAGATCATGAGTTTGAGGCCAGCCTGGCCTACAGGGCAGACCCTGTCTCACAGGTGAGGTGGGGCATAGCTCAAGCAATAAAACACTTTGACTAAAAGTACAAGGCTCTGGGTTAAATCCCCATATTGGGGGGATGTAGGGAGCAGGCTGTGAACAGTACAGAAGCAAGCACATGCTAGAGTTCAGTAGACCGGTGTGTTATTACTGACAGAGGCACCTGGGGGTGTCCTTTGCTGTGATCATTTAACAAAGTAAGCACCGGAGCTGGAGGCAGAGGGATTGCAAGTTTAAGACCAGCCTGGTCTACACAGCAAGACCCTGTCTCCAAAAACAAGGACCGGGAATGTTTTCTTTGGCATGTGATCCCCAGTGCTGCCAAAAAATAAAATAAATAAGCTTTCCAGAAAGTTCATGACATTCTTCTTGCTAGCGTGATTGACATAGTTTCTTCAATCCGTGATGAGTGCCACTGGGCTAGTGACCAATTGGTTAAGAAACCCCTGTTAACCAGGTGTGGTGGTACATGCTTGTAATCTCAGCACTGGGGAGGCAGGAAGATGGTGAGATTGAGGCCAACCTGGGCTAGGTAGTAAGACCCTGTCTCAAAAAAAAAAAAAACCCTGTTGCTACAAGACAGTGCTAATTTGCTTCTATCTTGTTTTTTTCTGGAAGGCCCTCCCATAGATCCTGATGAAGACTCTGACAACAGTGCAATTTATGTGCAAGGATTAAATGACAATGTGACTCTTGATGATCTGGCAGACTTCTTTAAGCAGTGTGGGGTTGTTAAGGTAAGTGAAGTATAACCATGTGATCTGGCAGAAACATCTTAAAGAGATTGAGTTAATTGGGAATTGTTTCTGAAGTTCCCTGCCTTTTCTTTCTGGACATGTTGCAGTTTATTCCTTAAAATACTCTCCCTGCATGGCACACACCTATTACCCAAGCACTCGAGCTGGAGGCAGAGGGATTCCTAGTTCAAGGCCAGCCTGATCTACACGGCAAGACCCTATCTCCCAAAAACATTGCTCTGGCATGTGATCCCCAGTGCTGCAGTAAAAAAAGCTTTACCAGAAAGTTACTGGGTTTTAATGATACATACAAAATGGTTTGGTTTAAATACAGTTTTACAGTTGTTACCTGATTGAACACTACTTTACACCAAATATAAAAATAATTAGGAAATATCTATGACACAGAAATTTTTAAATGAGGAACATTTATATATCTGCCTCCCAGTGTGAGGACTGAAGTGGACTCGGTATTTTTGATTCACGTGGCAGTACACCTAGTTGAATTCCTTTCTCTCCATTGCTGTCCTGGATTTTATTCTCATCTTGGTACTGGAGTGTGAACTCAGGGCCTCACACTTGCTAGGCATGAGCTAGGGTCTCTCGAACCGTGATCCTCCTGAGCTACTGGCACTGCCTGTCTCATCTCTTAAAGATGGTATTTTCAGTAATAATTTTGTTTCACGTGTAAAGTTATTTGGCACCACTGTAAGCACTGTTCTGAGACTGGGAATATACAGTGAACAAGCGCATAACACTTGGAGTTTATGTGCAGTGGAGAGTGTGTGACTTGTGTGTTTAATGGTAGGCGTGACACAGGAACATAAAGCAGTAAGGGCAGGGAGAAAAAGCCTTAGGACTGGAGCCATGGAGTGGGTGGTCCGTTGTCATAGGGAAGGGACTGTAACACAGCTCCTGGGGTGGGAGCTTGACAGGTTCAAAGGAGCTGCTGTGAAGTTTCAGCCTGGGCTGCTAGCATGGTGGTAAGATGTTACCGGAATGGGGAGGACAGAGAGAAACTGCTTGGGGGGGGGGGACTAGACCAGTACCTGAAAAGTAGGGATTTTCTGTTCTGAGCACATCAGCAAGCAGCTCAATAGAGAGTACATTGGGCCTGAAGTTTATGACAGATTCCGCATTGAGGTATTCACTGCACAAACTGCTGCAGTTGGGCGTTCTAGCTTGCCCAGGTCTCCCTGGTGTGCATGATTTTACCATGCACTTGGAGAAAAGTCGCCACAGTGCCGGGTTAGTAAGTGCTGAACCAGTGCTCAGTTGCTCAGAGCAGGTTTGTGAATACACACATTCTACATAGATTATAATCTGAAAGGACTTTGTGTGTGTGTGTGTGGTACTGGGTTTTGAACTCGGCCTCACACTTGCTAGGTAGGCGCTCTTACTGCTGAGCTTCTCTGCCAGCCTGTAATCTAAAGGACTCATCTGGTAGATTATCTGTTCTCTCTGTACAAAAGAAGCTGACGTACTGAGTGACTTTCTAAGGCTGTCTACAGGTCCATGGGCACCACTTGCCTTGCCGTTCTGTGTCTGGAAATTCACTTTTCCTTGATTGTTCGTAGGGACATTCTAACTGCATATCCTCCTTGGGGAGCCTGGGGTTTGATCTCAGGGCTTTGTACTTCCAACACAGACACTGGAGCGCTTGAGCCATGCCTCAAGTCCAGCGTGTCCTCTTTGAAATTCCTGTTTGTGTTGTATACACAGTTTTCATTGGACCATTTATCTCTTAGGAGTTGTAGATACTTCTTTATATTGGTTGAATGTGATCTTCTTATATTGGTTGAATGCGATCCATGTCTGTTGCTAACATTGTCTTCCAGTTCTGCTTTTCTTTCTTTTTGTGGCGCTCACGTCTGAATTCAGGGCCTTGTGCTTTCTAGGCAGGTGCTCCACCACTTGAGCCATGTCCTCTACTGTGCCTTTTTTTGTGTTCAGTTCTTCTGAGAATTCCGAGAATAGAAATTCCTTGATTTTAATGTAGTTGAACTTGGTAAGTTTTTTCCTTGCGAGGCAGGCACTGGCCACTTGAGCCAGGCCCCGGGCCTGATATGTGCGGTACTGCTCTGTCTGTGTTTTGCAGTACTGCTCTGTCTGTGTTTTGCTGTGTACCAGACTTTTCTAGCCACATTACTGAAAGCTTTGCTGTGTGAACTCGTGGTGCTCTGGTGATGTCTGGTCAGTGTGACCCTGCGTTGAGGCCACGCCGGCTGACTGCATGGGTGTGCCAAGTCCTGGCGACCTGGAAGGCAGCTTCTTCTTACTTCTTTTTTACTTTTCTCTCTCCTTTTTCAGTGGGACTGGGTTTTGAACTCAGGCCTGATAGTTGCACAGCAGGTACTCTACCACTTGAACCACTTCCCCAGTCTGTTTTTGCTCTAGTTATTTTGAAAATGGCTGGCCTCGAACTGCAATCCTTATGACTTTAGCCTCCCAAGTAGCTAGGACTACAGGCATGAGCCACTGGCACGGAGCTTTGTTCTTTTCTTTCCTTGGGCCTTTCTGAAGGTTGAACTCAGTGCTTCATGCTTGCTAAAGCAGGTGCTCTAAGCCTTCAGCCTCTCCACAGGCCTGTTTTATGTTGCAAATTTTTGAGAGAGTGTCTTGTGAACTGTTGCCTGGGCTGGCTTCAAATCACAGTACTCCTGAATCTTTGCCTCCTGAGTAGCTGGAATCACAGGTGTGAGCCATTGGCCTATTCTTTTTCTTTAGAGTGTTTTCTCACTCTTCACTTCTTGCTCTAAGGTTTTTATTTAAAGCTTTCCAAACCCCAGTTGGATTCTGACAATCTAAAACAATTTAAGGAGAATAAGTGATTTTTTTTTTTTTTAATTTTTACCAGTATGTAGACAAACAGTGGTTTTGGTAAATCTTACACAGAATATTTTACTCAGTATGTGCTTGCATACATCCAGGCAAAAAGCTTCATGATTATAGTCTCTACTAGCATGATAAACTACTCTTGGCAAGGGTGAGCCCCAGCTAGCACCAGTGCTCACACCTGTAATCCTAGTTACGTGGGAGGACTGTGGTCCGAGGCCAATCTGGGCAAATTGTGAGGCCCCTATCTCCACAATAACCAGAGCAAAATGACTGGACTGGAAGTGTGGCTCAAGTGGTAGATCACTTGCTTTGCATGTGTGACCCCTGAGTTCAAACCCCAGTCCCACCGAAGGAAAAAAAAACAAATACTCTTGCCTTGAGTACTTTTTAAAGTACTGTTTTTGCATTATATATGTATATGTTGTTTGTTGAAGTATCTCTAAGGTTTATTCTGGTTAAAAAGTAGTTTTGTCATCAAAATTTTTTAAGACTATGTTTCTTGATGGGTGGAATGGGCCAAGTGATAGAGCCCCTTCTTGGCAGGCGTGGGGCCCTGACCTCACACCGCACCACTGCTGGTGAATATATACAGTCGTGCTTGCTTTTGCTTCCTTTTCTTGGTGCACAGTTTCCAGGAGATGATAGTTGGAGAGAGTGGGGCCCACACTGCTCATTTTGGACTTGGAGTCTAGTTTGGTTTTTATGATAAAACACATTGAAGAGGGGAAAAGCAGTCACCTATTTGTTATAGAACCTGGGGTAGTAAGTCAGCCACAGACAGTTCTAACCCAGAGCTCAGATCCGACCCTACTGAATGTGTGGCCACCTGGGGAAAGGATTACTTTGAGCAGGCCAAGGACTGCCCTGGATTTCACAAGGCTTCTTTCAGTCTGGTGTACTCTATTCAGTCACGTGTAACTGTGTGTCTCATGTGTAGATGAACAAGAGAACTGGACAGCCCATGATCCACATCTACCTGGACAAGGAAACAGGAAAGCCCAAAGGGGACGCCACAGTGTCCTATGAAGACCCACCAACCGCCAAGGCTGCCGTGGAGTGGTTTGATGGTAGGATGCACTTGTAGGGTTGACTTGCAGGAAAGTGAAGGGCTTGCTAACGTCGGATGCTGTTGAGAGCGGCACTCTATAAAGCTTAGACGTAGTCTTTGTACAACCACAGAGAGCCGCGGGAGGGAGGAGCTTGAGAGCCATGGGACAAGAGGACCTGTCTCCTCTTGGGAAGCCCTGAGTAGGCACAGTTACTGACCTGGATTGGGAGGTCCCTTTAATGTTAGGTGTTACTACAGCCACCTGGCTAAAGAGCAAGGTTTCTAAATAGGTAGTATCAGCGTACCCAGAGTGCCATCTCAGCTGGGCCCCGGGGAGGTCTGGAGAAGGGAGTTCTGCAGGCCCCATCTCCAAAATCGCCAGAGGAAAATGGGCTGGAGGTGTGCCTCAAGGAGAAGAGTGCCTGCTTTGCAAGTGCAGCAAAGCCCTGAGTGCAAACCCCAGCCCCTGCAAACATACATGAAGTATCATCTTAGGGCTAAGAGTGTAGATAGGTGTGTAGAGATTTGTCTGGCTTGCTCAAGGCCCTGAGTTTGATCTCCAGCACCACAGAAAAGACACAACCGAAACCCTTACCCGGTGAACATTTATGTATTGAAGACTTTTACCTGGACACTGGAATTTCACTTCAAACCAAACCTACGTGAATGTCCGTGTCCGAGTTCTGTCTTCACTAACTCAGCTCCATGCTGCTTACCCCTTACCCTGTGCTGTGCAAACATCCTGGGGTTCAGCCTGCCTCCCGCCAGCCAGCTCTCTTCCTTGGGGTAGAGAAGGGGGTTTGGTATCTTTAAGTCTTTTTCTGCTCCCCAGTAAAGCCCTTAGATGATGGCGGGCAGGCTGGAGGCTGTGAGGGTGGCTGAGTCTGGTGAGTGCTGGGTCTCTAGCTTTCTCCAGTCCCTCGCAGAGAAGAGTGGTCTTGGGAATCGCTGACATCGTGTCATCTTGTTCCAGGGAAAGATTTCCAAGGAAGCAAACTTAAAGTCTCTCTTGCCCGAAAGAAGCCTCCCATGAACAGCATGCGGGGTGGCATGCCGCCGCGTGAGGGCAGAGGAGTGCCGCCCCCGCTCCGCGGAGGTACTGCAGACACCCTCCCTAAGCTGCTTGTTGCTGTACTTTGCACCCTTGGGTGAGGAGGAAGCAGAGCGATGCGGTCGGTAGTGTGAGAGCAGGTAGCAAACGTCTATAGACAGCTGTCATTAGAGAGGCTGGACGCACCACGAGGCCGCTGCCTGTACCTCTTGCTGTGGCCTCGCTGACTGTGAAAGTGCTAGAATTGCAGAGCCGAATGAGATCGCCCTCTGCACGGGGCCTGGCAGATGGGGCGGATGGAGCAGGAGCCTGAGCGAGGCCCTGGGCGGGCCTGTGGAGGGGTTGTGGTTCCTGGAACAAGGCTCTCCTATGAAGAGGTAATTGCTGCTTCTTACTGCAGGTCCAGGTGGCCCGGGAGGGCCTGGGGGACCCATGGGTCGCATGGGAGGCCGTGGAGGAGACAGAGGAGGCTTCCCCTCAAGAGGACCCCGGGGCTCCCGAGGGAACCCCTCTGGAGGAGGGAATGTCCAGCACCGAGCAGGAGACTGGCAGTGTCCCAATCCGTATGTATTTCCCTTTGCAAGCTGTTAACTGTGCTGGTGACACCCCACCCCACCCCACCCCACTCCGGGGAATACTGCCGCTCTGCTCTGCGCAGAGGAGCGTGCTGGTGACCTCATGACTGGGTGGGGCGAGCCACCGAGACCTGTGCCTAAGGTGGGGTGTGCTGCCTAGTGAAGAGCGTCACCTTAGCTCCCTCACCTTCCTCAGTCCATCGCTGATTTCTGCTGTGTGTGACTTTATGCAGGGGCTGTGGAAACCAGAACTTCGCCTGGAGAACAGAATGCAACCAGTGTAAGGCCCCAAAGCCTGAGGGCTTCCTCCCGCCACCCTTCCCACCTCCGGGTAGGTACAGGCTTCCGGGGCGCCGCCCCCGCCCCTGCCGCTAACCTTTTCTGTGTAAGCTGCAGCTGCCCTGTGGCATTTCTGAATTGTCACCCAGATGTGGATTGAATGAAGTGTCTGCTTTGTGTCTGGCCTGGGAAAAGGAGGCGGGTCCCCATCCACAGCCTGTCCTCAGCTCAGCCTCTAATGCCCTTTCCTTACCTCAGGTGGTGACCGTGGCCGAGGTGGCCCTGGTGGCATGCGAGGAGGCAGAGGTGGCCTCATGGACCGCGGTGGTCCTGGCGGAATGTTCAGAGGTGGCCGTGGTGGAGACAGAGGTGGCTTCCGTGGTGGCCGTGGCATGGACCGAGGTGGCTTTGGCGGAGGAAGGCGAGGTGGTCCAGGGGGGCCCCCCGGACCTTTGATGGAACAGATGGGAGGAAAAGAGGCGGACGTGGAGGACCCGGGAAGATGGATAAGTATGTGATGGGGGAGCCCAGCCCCTTTCCAGCCCGACTGCAGTGAGGCCAGGTGGCGTCGGTGTTGGCGATGTCACTTGGCACTGGGGGTTCTTTCGGCTTGCTGTCCCTTGCCCACTGTAACCACAGGCCCTTTGCCTTGCAGAGGTGAGCACCGCCAGGAGCGCAGAGACCGGCCCTACTAGACACACCCCGCAGAGCTGCAGTGACTACCAGATTTATTTTTTAAACCAGAAAATGTTTTAAATTTATAATTCCGTATTTATAATGTTGGCCCCAACATTATGATTGTTCCTTGTCTTACTTTAGGCTTTTTCACCATTTGTGAAGAAACATTAAAACAAGTTAAATGGTAGTGTGCCGAGTTTTCTTTCTTTTCAAGATGGTTGTTTAAGACTTCAGCACGGGAACCCTTGTGAGCATGCTCCGTGTCTGGAGAACCAAGGGGCCTCTAACTGTAACCGCGGTCATGATTGTGACGTTTTTTGTTTTGTCTTTTTTTTTTTTTTTTTTTTTTTTTTTTTTTAAATAAAATTCCAAATGTTTATAAACAGTCATCTTCTCGGCCTCTGTTCCGCAGTTGCACAGCTCTGGCCCTGGGTGCAGGCGTCCGCCCAGGTCAGAGAGGGAGCGCCTGGAACGATGGGACATGACCAGTGGAGCAGCACGCTGCAGGCCACAGAAACAGGCCGATGCGCCCTGTCCACCGGGCTGGGAAGACAGAAGTGTGGCCCAGTGAGAACCACCTGTGCCCTCTGCAGGGCAGACGGGTCCTCTGCTCTGGCCCCTGGCCTCTGCACCTGGCTAGGACAAAGGTGAAGGCAGTTTCCTGCAGGGGTACTTTGACCTGTCACCCTCCCTGCACGGTTCCTCCCTCTCCAGATCACTGAGATCCCGAGCACCCACGTCTTCCGCCTTGCCAGGTCCTGCCATTGCCGCCCTCTTCCGACCCGCCATCTGCTGCTCCTGCTGCTGACCTGAAAGCAGGGCTTCGTCCCATGCCATCAAGCATTTGTCCCGAACCCTCCTGCTCCCTCCTGCACCGCACCAGCGTCCAAGCCAGTCCATCAAGCTGCCCAGAAATCACATCCTTCTTCCCCACTACTGCCACCATGGTCACCCGCCCCCTGCCCTTCCCTCAGGCCAGGGTGCAGAAGGACCCTGCATTTTTCTCAACTCTGATGTAAGCACAAAGTCCCCCTGACACTCTGGGATCTTAATTCCACCCCCTCTGCTCCCCACGCTACAGCCAGCCAGCAGCTGGGCCAGGATTCAGCCCTGTTCTGCTGTGTCCAGACCCCCAAACAGGAATCGGGTTCCTGCGGAGCTGCTGGCTGCACACGTGCCTCAGTGGTAAAATGGGGACATATAAAAGTTACCTTAGCCGGGCACTGGAGCTCACGTCTGTAATCCTAGCTACTCAGGAGTCAGAGATCAAGAGGCTTGAGTTTGAGCCAGCCTGGGCTAATAGTTTAATAAAGGCCCTGTATGGAAAATACCCAGTATCTCAAATGGTACAGCGCCTGCCCAGCAAGCGTGAGGCCCTGAGTTTCAAACTCTGTACTGCCCAAGAAAGAAGGTGAAGTAGATTCCTTTGACTGTGTCTCCACCATGGTCCCCCCCAGCAGGACCCCTGGTCCCGCCCTCCCAGTGCTCAGCTCAGCAAACCCGGATCAACGGGCCCAGGAGGCTGTGCCCGAAGTCTTCCTACTTGGGAGGCCGAGATGGGGGCTCGAGGTTCGAGACCAGCCTGGGCGATAGTTCTCGAGACCCATCTCCAAAATAAGCAGAGCAATATGGACGGGCGTGTGTTGTGGCCCAAGTGGTCAACGCCTGCTTTGCAACATGAGGCCCCGAGTTCAAACCCCAGCCCCACCGAAACAGTTCACCTTGCCCGTGTCCCATTCTGGCAGCAGTGTCCCTCAAAACGGGACTGCCCAGTCCCTTGTCAGGGCACCACCACGGGGAGCCGGGCCGGCAGCATGCCGCAGGCCGGCGCGTCCTCATCCGTCCGCCGCTTCCCCTCGCCGCGGCTGGAGCCCCATCCTCCCCGGGCGGCGCGCTTATCTCCCGGCCGCGGAGGTGACTGCGCAGCCCCCGCCCCTATCGCTTCCTGCCGCAGCCCGGGACGGGCCGTGCCGGGAGGCCACGGCCGGGGGGGGACGGGGCGTGGCCTGGACGCGGGTCCCCGGCGCACCGCCCAGGAGAGGCGCGGCCCCTTTAAGAGCGCGCCCCCCCCACCCAGGCGGGCCGGATCCGAATTCCAGGGAGGCGGGCGGGACGGCGGCGGCGGCGCAGCTGCGATCGGCCGGGCTCGGCGGCGCCTCTCGGCCCCCGGCTCCGCCCCCCGCGGGCGATGCTCCCGGGCCCGGATGAGCCAGGTGAGTGGGATCGGCGCGGACGGCCTCGCGCCCCAGGGCTGTGTGACCTTGCCGGCCCGGCTCCCTCTCTGGGCGCCCCGGCTCGCGAGGGCCATTCGCAATCCCGCCTGGTGCCTGCGACCTTCAGCGATCTCCTTCCCCTCCTTGCCTCAGTTTCCCCGTCTGTAAATGGAGATCATGGCTATCGCTGCTGTTCTATGGGCGAGTTGAGGAGTGGGACAAGCCTCTTGAGTGTCTGGGGACCCAGCTATGTTCCTCGTGGCCACCATCCTGCGGCCGGGGTGGGAAGGGGAATGGGCCGGTCCCCACCCCAGCAGGCACTCGGTTGTGGGCAAACAGTGTTCCTTTTGAGCGCAGGACCTTACTTACCCATTTCACAGATGAGGAAACTGAGGCACAGGAAGGGACAGGAGGGCGCTCACAGCCTGCCCTTCAACCAGGCACTTGGCCCGAGGACAGTGTGGATGCAGTGGTCAGCGCTGAGCGCTCTGCTGATCCTCACTGCAGTCCTGACCCGTGTCCCTGTCCGCAGTGACTCGGCCGCCCCGGGCATGGCGGATCCAGTGTCCAGCATCGCGGCTCGCAGCCAAGAGCGTGCGCTTTCCGCCAGTGAGGCCTACGTGGGCCATGAAGGAAAGACCTGGCCGAGTGCTCAACGCCCCTGTACGGCTGGGTCTGCCCAGCGTGCGATGGCTTCCTGACCGGGCTGGCCACGGCACCACCCTGTGCCGACACGCCAACGCTGTCACCGAGGCCGCCCAAAGCTCTGGCCGCCACTCGCCCAACCCGAGGTGTGCCTTCCAGGCACACAGCTGGCTCCTGGCTCCTTCGTGGCCCCGGACAATGTGCCACCTTCATCGGCTGGTGCCGGACGACTGGCGTGCCCGAGGTGCTGATGTTCGAGACCGAGACCTGTCCTGCGGGAAAACGAGAAGAGTGTCGTGCTGTGCCTGCTGGATGTGGCGCGGCGCGGCGCCCGCCTGGGCCTGCTGGCCCCGCGCCTCGTGCAGTTTGAGCAGGAGATTGAGCAGGAGCTGCGAGCTTGCCCCCGGCCCCCAACACCCCCGCTGCTGGGGACCACGTCACCAGAGACCGCCACTGCACGGGGGCCCCCACTCGTGATCCCGCATGACTCCCAGACCTGCAACCTGACGAGCTGGTGAGTGCACGGACGTGTGCACCGCAGGCCCCTAGATCTGTCTGCAGAGCCGTGCCACAGCCTGTCGCCGCACCTTGTGGGGGGAAAGGTGCATATGGTGAGCACCAAGTGTGTACCCGCCCTCGAAGAAGTGGGCCCAGACAGGCCAGATCGAAATACCCAGCAAGCGCTGCGCGCTCCTCCTCCCGACAAGGACTTGGCACCTCCTCTCTGCCCTCTGCCTCGGGTTGCCACACGAGTGTCTGCAACCCCTGAGCTCAGGGTTGGGTGGTGCCACCCTTTGGCCGAAGGAGGTGGGCCGGGCGCCTGGCACCCTGCACCTATGGCTTACTGCGCTGCTCGTGGGAACAGGAATCGCTGTTGTTGGGAGGGAATTTGAACTTGGGGTGCCCAGCTCCCAGCTCTGTCCCTCCTTCCCCAGACCTTGGTGTCCCCTGCCACCCCACCGCAGCAGGGCTAAAAGGTTCCTTTTATCAGAACTCAGGACTCCGATGTCCTGGCCAGCAGCGGGCAGCCGGACGCTGTGGCACAAGGGCTTTTGCCCACCCACCCCGGAGCCGGTCATTCCACGTCCCACCTGCTCATTTCTGTGCCCATGGCTGTGGGCAGGAATTCGGCAGGCCTCCCAGTAGCCAGCCGTGGCAGCGCCGGGCCCAGTGTGACTTTGTGCTCGCCAGGCGGGCCTGTTGTGTGATTGTCCCCCACGTTGTTAGCCCCTCCATCCATGCTCAGCAAGGAACAGCCCCTTTTCTGGACTCTGTCCTTTGGACCTGCCATCCTCCCAGTGAAACCTCCGCTGTCCTCTTTTGCCATGTGCATGAGGGGCTTAAGGGCTTCGAGGACGTTTCCTTATTGGGGAAGCCCCCCACCCTACCTGATCACAGCCCCATTCATATCCTTTGCGTCAACTTCCTGACCCTGCCAGAAGGGAAAAGCTGGAGTGGTGGCGCGGCCTGTAATCCCAGCACGTAGCAAGACCCTTTCCCAAAAAGCAAAAAAGGACAGCGGGACCGGTTGTGGAAGCTGTTCCCACTCGTTGGGCAGCACAGTGTCCATCCCCTCATGCCCGAAGCACTTACTTCCTGCCTGACCCAGGAGGGACAACCCCTGACCCCCGGCCTCCTGTCTCTGGCCTCAGGTGAGCGGAGATCCTGGGCCACTGCGCGTTCCAGACCAGTTCCCCATATCAAGGTGTCGAGGGGAAGTACCGGGTGGGAGACTCCAGCCTGCTCATCTTCTGCGCGTAAGGCCACCTCTGAGCCCAAAACCCGGGGGCGGCTGCATGGACAGGACACAGCCGTGACCAGGCCACACCGGCCCGCAGGTGCTCAGGAGCCACGTGATGGTCGCGTGGCGGCGGCTGGACACCCTCGAGCACTACCTGACAAGCATGACCCCTGTCGCTGCTCCTCGCTGGTCAGTGCCCGTGGCAGGACAAAGGGAGGGGCTGCGCTCTGAGCCTCAGGCTCTGTCCCTCACGTGTCACCTGCCCCCCACCCCGTTCTTCCCACAAGCCCACCGCCTGCCCCCCCCAGGACCCGCACTTTCTCCCCCCAGAGAGTGTCACCGTCCCCACCCCCGCCCCGGCAGCCCCATCCCGGCAACGAGCGCCGGCGCTCCCGGCCGGAGTGACTCCGCTGAGTTCACAAGCACAAAGGAGGGCCCGAGCCCCCGGCCAGGTGAGGCGCGCCCGGCGGGGACCCGGCCAGTGCCCTCTGCGTGGGAGGAGGCGTCCGTCCCCCGGCCGGAGGACAC